CCCTAAGAATGTTTTTCCACACCAGTTCTCACTCTTCCCATTCTCAATGTCCAGCTTCATCAGCTGTTCTGAATTGATACATCCCCATTTCCTCTCTAAGTGACAATACCACTTTTTACCAGGCTGTAGTAAGATTGCACAAAAGACCTGTAGGAATCATGTGCATTAGTTCTCTATCCTCACTGTTATAGACAGCTAAGCTAAGGAGAAATATTATATAGGCTGTCGGACAGGGTTAGGCTTTGAATTCAAACAAAGGTAAAAACACATTACAATGGCCGGAGGTGCATCTATTTGAGGCCAAGCCTCAAGATAAAAGATGAAATGACCATGCTTAGGTGGCAACAACTGTTCTAATGAAGTCTAGATAAATATCAGTTACCTCCATGGGTGACCAGGAACCTCACTCATTCCTTCCTGAAAAGTTCTTTGTTCCTTCATGTACTTGTTACTTGACTTTCCCCATTGAATCAATGCTAAGTGACTTTAAAATCTTAAATTAAAATTTCCCATGTACATTTAGAGGTCCAGTATTATTTCCTATATTTTACTGAGCAGGTGACAGGTGAGGATAAAACTTGCTGGGAGAAATGAAGGGATGCCCAAGTTCTCTTGACTATTCCCCAACAAATGAGTTTTAACAATCCCAAGTATTCATAAGCACAAATTACTGGCTCTCAAATCTTGGAGAAATGTTTTGTAAACTCTACACGAAAATAAAGTTGAACATACAGAAATCAGAATGTAGATGTTTATTTTTTGAAGAGCAGTATTTATTAACCTAATTCAAAGAGAATTTATTGAATGTTTACGATGTATCAGGCACTAGGAATGTAAAGTTTCATATGACAATCCCTAAATACAGGTAGAGGAAGTGTTTTTTATTTTCACCACTGAAATTTTAAACCTAGGGAATCTCAACTGAGATACATCTCTAGACTTTATTTTTTGAGAGAAGTCACTGGGCTTAAACCTGCAATCCTCTTGCCTCAGCCTCCCAGAGTGATAGGTGTGCATCAAAACACTCAGTTTTAAAAAATTAAAACATTGGTGGTTTTGAGTATAACTCAGAACAGCTCTTGCTTAGCATGTAGAAGGCCCTGGGTTGTTCCCAGCACCACCAAAAAAAAAAAAAACCCTAACCCATCTGTCATGGGAACAACTATGTAGGAAACTAAGGAGTTGCCTTCAAACTGTTTCCTTTCTAATGATAAGCAGTCTTCAATCCTCTTCTTACAATCGGGCAAGGTATCACCTACAACTTGTTAGATGTTGAAGGACAAATAGGAATTCACCAACTGAACCAAGGAATTTCAGGCAAAGCCAGGTACATGTGCAAAAAAACCGGGAAAAACGAATTTTTCCTAACAGCTAAAGCATAAATGTAACAAAATGAAAAGAAAAACAATTTAGTAGGAGCTAAATACCAGGTCAAGTATGTGATGGTACTGAGGGTATTTACATTCATTCAATTGTATACATTTTAAATATGTGCAATTCTTTGCCTATCAACTATACCTTAACAAAGCCATGTTAAAAAAAAAAAAAAGGACTACCCACCCCTTATAAACTATTGGTCATCAGGTCTCCAATAGTCAAGACTGCCTGAGGAAATCCTTGGCATCAAGATTATGGATTCAGTCCCAGCTTTGTCAGCTTCTGGAAGGGTGACAATTGTGCGATTCCTTCTTTTTCTTAGCATAAAATAAGGTAGTTCCCACATCTTTAAGCAGTCAAAAGGATCACACAGCATACCTTTAATAGGTATGGTCAGGAAAGGTTAGTAGTGTAATTCTCACTGATAATACACTACTAGAAGGCTAGCTGCATTGCTGCAGGATGCTCAGAGTGCACAATAAACAAAGATGACCTCTCATGAGGCCATGGTACAGGAGAGCCTTGCCCTGCCCAGAGCTGCTAGCCTTATACTGTGTTTGTGGCAGTGGTAGCTGATACACCTGCCTAGTGGCTGGGCCATACTGTCAGCCTGCTACATTAAAAAAGACCTCTCAATTTCACTGTCATGTAGTTTCTACACAACTCCAAGAGCATTTTAGGTGTTCCCACTGCATACAGTATCAAGAGCTGTGAGTTAACTACTTATGACCAACCACCACATGGTCAATTTTTCTTTTTCTTTTTTTGGTACTGGGGATTATTGAACTTGGGACCTTGTGTTTGCAAGGAAGGCAGAGGAACCACTGTGCTAAATCCCTGGCCCCAGATGGTCAATTCTAACATTTAAGACTGTTACTCTGTACCCTAAACCAAGGCAAAAGCTTATGGGCACAATGGTTTTCTTTTAGCCACACTGCCTATTTAATACAGATGCTTTATCCTTAAACCAGAGATGTTAGTTTACAAAAAAACCCTAGAATTTGAAGCATTTCATTTAGATTTAGATGCTGCAAGAGTATTCTGCATTTGAGGAAGTCATTCCAACTAGTCTACAATCAAGTGCTCCCCATTTCTAAAGCTTAACAGAAACTGGTACTGGAGCAGCTGTTGAAGAATCTCCAAACCAATAAAGACCTAGAGATACATGAAGTAGGCCATGTACCTCAAAGCTGTCAGGCATATTCTGCCGGTACTACCTCAAAGGAAGAGTCCTACAGGTTACCACCAATAAGAACACCCTGTGAGAGGAAGAGCCAAAGGAAAAAAAACCATCATCAGGACCAGGACCCTATTTTTCAAGGCAGTAAATGCAGTGGCTGTCAGTGACCATGAGAAAAGGGAGGAAATAATTTTCTTCAGTATGTTTAAGATATGAATTCTGTTTTTTGCTCTACACAAAAGAATTTTGAATGAGATCTTTACATATACCAATAATTTACAAATCATGACAATAAAAATTATAAAGATAATTTGGGGAATAACAATATTAAAGTACTATTATATACAAAGTTAAAGCTAAAAAAATGGAAATTTCAATTTCATGAGTACTTCATACTATACAAAGTATAGGAGAGGCAAATCATATGTACCCTTAAAAAATGAAATAAATGAAATTATTTTGAGTAATGATCTAATTCTGATCTTCCAAAATACTCTAAACAAACTGGGCGTGGTGGCACACACCTGTAATCCTAACACTCAGGGGTCTGAGGCAATTCAAGGTGAGAAACCCTATCTCAAAAAACCAATACTCTTAGTTGTGAAGGAAAACTATTGAGGTTCTCAACTGGTAGATAATGAAAAGCTGACAGTTACTGAATGTGATACCACGTTGTGCTTACTATTTCCATCTCATCCTCACCACACCTTTCTCAAGTAAGAAAACTGGGCCACAGGTTAAGCAACTTTCAACATTAATAACCAGTCTAGAAACTGCTATACAACAATATAATACTGCTTTTAGAAATGGCAAAAAACAATGGGAGGATAAATTTCAAATATAATCATCTTATTTTCATTTCTGTAGTACTGGGGATTGAACCCAGGGCCTTTACACAGAGCTACATACATCCCTAACCCTTTTTATTATTTAGGGGGTATCATACTAAGTCACCAAACCCCACAGGTTACGCTTCAACTTGCAATCCTCCTGCTTCAGCCTCCGAGTGCTAGGATTATAGGCATGCCACCATCATGCCCAGCCAGTAATTGTATATGCAACTCTCCACTACTACAATGCAAATGTAAGGACAGTTCATAACTACTATCTATTATGTTAAGCATTCACTGAGATTCAAATCTAGGCTTGCTGATTACAAAAGCAATATTGTCCCTATTTCCCAACCTACTTTACTAGAAAGAAATCCAAGGTGATTATTTTATTCACCAAAGCCACTACTACTTGGAAATACAAAGATTGTCAAGTTGAGCCCAGTATCGGACAGAACATTACTTGTTTACTAAATACAAAAACACAGTAAATATAACCTAAGAGGGTAGCAACAGAGTAAATGTAGAATATAAACAAAATAGACTCAAGGCATGTTATAGTGAGGGTTCTGTTTGAATGACAAAGGTTAAGGCTGTTTATAAATTTGCTTATTAGTCCCCTTATAAAGGAGCTAGAGAAACTAGCCTAGACCCCAATCCAAACCAAGTGTTCTTCCCTCTTCTGACCAGGTGGGAATAGTGCGTGTACTGTACCTCTCTGACGGATGGCAACAAGGCATCATCTCTGAAGTGGGGGACCAGGATTTCACTGGACACCAAACTTGCCAGCACTTTGCTCTAGGACTTCCTAGCCTCTAGAGCTGCAAACATTTAAGATTCTATTGCGGGAGATTAAATAAAAAGGGATGGGTTGTGGTACTGTGTGGACATGCACCAATACTCCACAAGGAATGTGATCACGTGCTACAAAAACATGTACTTTTAATAAACAAAATCTCTAGCATTTACATACTTTCCAAGTGTTTCAAGAAATGCTCAAAGCAATTCAGAACTAGAACATACAACAGGGTGCTTTAAACAATTTAAGTGAAATCCCATATATTGACTTCCATTTATTTTGATACATCTTAAACCTAAGTGTAAATAAGGTTCAAATGGTATTGATAGTGTGAAAAGGAAGAAAATGGGTAAAGGGGAAGTGGGAAGGACAGGGGAGGGGAGGGGAGGGGAAAGAAGGGAAAAGAAACAATGTAAAAAAAGGAAAAAATGGCCACAAAGCCTTTCTAAATAGGGAAGGGAAAGGGTGTCAAGGGAGGGAAGGGGTCTGGGGAAAAAAGAAACCAAGACTTATTATGTAAAGATATAAGATCCCAGTGATAAATAACTATTGTTTGCTTTAAATGTACCAATAAACTTAATGGGGGAAAAAAAAATTTTTTTTTGATACATCTTGTCCAAAACATGATTTAGAGGATTTTCAAGCCAATATAAATATTTCATAAATATGTGGTCATTTAGGTATACATTTGCTCTATACCTGACATCTTTCGGTGAGAAAACACTGAAGAGTAAAGACCTCACACAATTAACTGGGTATAATGAGAATTTGCTCCAAATATTGTTTCTCTGAGGTAAAGGCACCACACACCTGCTCAATTAAGAAAACCATCCTTACAACACAGGATGATTTTTTATTTTTTAAGTTGGGCTTAGGGCACTCAGCTGCTGATTAGGAGCTTCAAGGCAGAGCTACAGCCCCAGCTTACGCCATGAATTCATAGGGAATAGGTTCCAACAACTCAGGCTCCTTCCCATTGGTTCTCACGAAGTGTGCTTCTCTGGGTGGGGCAGGCTGTTCAGGGGAAAAAAAAAAAGCTTTTATGTAAAGTACTACAAATCAACATTTAAAGTATTCTTTGAAATAATGTTTACACTCAATTCTTAAATGTCATGAAAAAAATCAGCAGATTTTAAAGAGGTATGCAAAATTAATACCGAGTCAAGGTCTCACCTGGCGCTTCAGCTGAACCCAAGTCCCTTTTTCTTTGGCTTCCTTCTTTTTCTGATCATTTTCCTTGACACGTTTCAGGAAGCTATCTCGACTCTTTGAGTGTTTAATGTGCTCAATACGCACATTAATCCTCTTGGCAAGTATCTTGCCCCTGGAGAGAGCAGAAATTTTTAACAAATGCTTTAAAAAAAAAAAAAAAAAAAAATGGAAATACAGAAAGCCGTTTAGACAGTGCCATATAGTAAATAAATTTAATTAATCAAGATGGTTAAGTAATGGCCTGATTGTATGTAATCATTAATTCCATTACAAGATGCTGCGAAAATCCCTGTATCAAACAAAGGTACTCTTCTGAGGTGAGAGCCCCTGAACACTAGTAATTTAATCAAAACCAGATCACCACTAAAATACTTTCTTTGTTATAAAAAGAACTGCTTAATACCAAACTGTGTAAGACTTTCCAACAAATCTACTTTAATTTGTTTCCTCTGACAGGTTACAAGACAAACATTCAGTTTGCCTGAGTTTTAAAAGGATATTATTTCTTTTGCCCCACTTGAATGACCAATAAAGACATTAAGTCCAATTGGCAAAGTGAAAGGGGGTATATGAAGGAATGCTAATTAGTCAGACAACTATGACATTACTTACTTAACTTGCTTGTTTACAACAATGCCAACAGCATGCTGGGTAACATTGTAGACTCTTCCAGTTTTGCCATGGTAACATTTGTGTGGCATCCCTTTTTGAACAGTACCCATTCCCTGGTCAAGGTTAGAGACAATGTTATTATTCCAGCAATCTCCCTTCCTTCTATCCTTTTATTAGTGTGACTAAGATATTTTAAGATTTCCTTTAAATGCTAACTCAAGAGCTTTCAGAGCCGGTGAAATGTGTTTTTCACATTGCTTTTTCAATCACAAAGACAGTCATCATTAAGCTCTGGAGTGTTAAGATATAGTTCAACACTGGTCACAGAAGAACACAGATTTTACTGGGGCGTTCATAAAGGCAGCACTCTCCATCTCTAGCAAAACTTAAATTTTGGGGCCAGGGATTTAGCTCAGTGGTTCCGCCAGCAGACGCACAAGCACAAGGACAGGAGTTCAATCCCCAGTACCCAAAAGAAAAAAAAAATAAATAAAAAACACCAAGATATTCTTTTTCATCATAATCAAATGACACCCCCTATTTTCTACTACTTAACTTTTAGCAGGTAGTGAAAAAAATTAAGACCCATTAAGAATAAAACTTTATTTTTTTGGTATCAGGGATCAAAACCGGGTCCTTGCACTAAGAATAAAAGTTTAAAACAGCCCTTCTTTAGTCTTACACTTTTTTCCCCCCAGCACCAGGGATTAAACCTATGGTCTTTATACTGAGCTACATTATCTATCCCTAGCCCATCTTATTTTGACATGCCCTCACTAATTTGCTCAAACTTTCCATTTTCCTGCCTTAGCCTCCCAGAGTGCTGCAATTACAAGTATTTGAATTCCTACAGGATTTATATCCAATTTTTCTAACTTCATTTGTGCTCAATTTTATAACTTACCTTGATGTCTACAATATCACCCTTTTTGTAGATTCGCATGTATGTAGCCAAAGGAACAACCCCTGAAAAAAGAGTCCATTTAAGACAAAAATCCACAAAAACACTTTTAAAAAAAGCTAGGCTTCCACTTTCCAACACACATCTTTTCTTTTTTCACTGCAAAACTAGAGATTGAAGCCAGAAGCACTGAGCTACATTCCCAATCTTTTTGATAACTTTTGACATAAGGGTCACTAAATCACCAAAGCTGGCTTCAAACTTAAGATGTCTTCCCTCAGGTTTTTGAGTAATTATGATTTCGGGTATGCACCAAGCCAGGTGCACACACTTTGACAGTTTAGATATTTTAAAATCTTGCCAATAGACAATTTCTCCAGAAAGCAAAGCCAGTCTACTACAGGACAACTTCTCTCCAAACTTTAATCCTATACTTATTAGAAATAACTCAGGTATGTTCTGGTTATTTACTATTACTGATGAACATGCTTTCCCTCAAGGAGGGTCAATTTACTTACCATGTTTTCTAAAAGGCCTAGAGAACATATACCGGGTTCCCCTCCTTTTCCCCTTTGTGTTCGTCATTTTGGCAAATTACTGAAAGCAGAAAGTATAAAAATTAGTCAAATATCAACTAAGTTTGTTGGCATCTGCCCCTTTAACTGCTCCCCCCAAAAGACCTATAGTTTCAATGCTCTATTTCAGTGGTAATTTGAAATCTAAGAGGCTGGATGGAGCACCCACCAATCGCTATTTCCTTTAAAGGATAAAATCCCTGTCATTTTAGCAGCTAAGGTCTTCGCCAAAACAGCCCAAGTTCTGTAACATTGAAACTCCTAAGCACAATTAAGTATTAAATCAGTATACCTTCCCTATCAGAATATAAAAACACGTATCTATAAAACCCAGCCAAGAATGCTAAAAACCTTGCAATCACAGTACTATCTAGGTAACTTACTATTGGAGAACATAACACTCAGCCTCAGATTCAAAGGGTGGATAAAACCCTTTTTCTTACTGACCCAATTTTCTGTGAGTGTATTTCAACGTTATCATCTGCTTAAGCAACAATTTCTCAACTCACTACATAATGCTATTTATTATTTGTTTACTAGAATATGTAAAGAGGATAGAAAGGGAAAACATATACTGGTAAACTAAGTCTAGGCTGTCATTTCCTGGAAGATCTACATTTAAGCTCACATTTCTATTCGTAAAACGGAGTTAGCACTTTTACACTGAAGTAATGTCTATATAAGGAACTCAGCAATTTTGGTGGATTACTCTGTAACTGGGATCTTCTTTCTTTTTTGAGGCAGGGTCTTGCTATATAGCTCAAGCCAGTCTTTAACTATGTATGTAGTCCAAGATTGCCTCAAATACCTTCTGTGTCCCTCCCAAGGATAAATGGTTATTTTGTCATTTTCTAATAATTCACCTATTTATAGCAGTGATAGTGAACCTTTTAGAGATGAGTGCCAAACTGCAACCCAAAACTGAATTCTCTTTTTAGAGTAATAAGGCAACTACATAACTTGTTCTAATCCTTAACATTCTCCCAAACAGTATGAAATTTATATTTATGCTCCACATATTCAAGTCACTTTGGGGAGCCCAAAGGCAGCAAAATCAGTAATGTAATTTCTGACCCCAAAGCCCGTGTTTCTCCAAGCCCTTTTTTCAGAGTAAAATATCCATTCTACCCATAAACCCCACATACATAAAACAAGTTTTTTAACACAATACTCATCGTGCAAGCCAATGACGGATAGTCTATAAAAGTTAAATTAAAAAGAGAAAAAAAAAATGAGATCCATCCTATAGTGAACCCTTGTTTCAACTCTGGTAGTTGGCTGTTTGTTGGCTGTTAATATATCCAGACTAGACCATAAGTTTCTGAAGTTTCTACTAAATAACTTTCACCCTAAACTTGTAAATCACGTACACTGTTTTGGAATCTAATATATGCTGTGCAGAATTAAACCAAACACCTCCTTCAGTATACATATTTGTGTGGATACTTTTAAAATTACTTTCTCTTCCTCTAAACGGCACCTGGGGCCAAAATTTAAGTGATTGGCCTCGCCAGACACAGAAACCGACGCCACAATCCCAAGTCCCCACTCAACAGCATCACTTGCTTAGGGATCAGACAGCGTAAAGATGCCACAGTGAAATGAGTTCGAAAAGTATCATGTCATGTGATCCTACAAATGGTGGCACGAGGGCTCAGGGCACCAAAGCTGGAGTTATGGAGACATACAAAGGACTTGTGTCTCCACCGGATCAACCCTATTCCCCTCGTGGCCAAAAGTCGGCTCCGTCTTTTTCTAGACAGTCCCTTTACAGAGCGGCGGCCTGGGACTCCGGCCCTCAGTCCCACACAGTGCACGAAGCGGACCTGGCAGGACATGCTAGGTTCTGCCCAGGGCAGTAGATTCCACACGGTCTAAACTGTCTCCCTAGGATCCTAACACACAGCATCGGCGGACACAGAGTTGTAATTAGAGTCTGTAGAACGCAAGAAGCCGAGAGCCACGCGGACACCCTACCTGGAAGATGGCGGTTCCGGCGGAAAAGAAGGAGGCGGCGCAGTGGCGCGCGCCTTACAAGGGCCTGTAGGCTGCCCGCGGCGCTGCCTGAAAGAAGTGCCAACCGGAATTGGCTTTTCTGGGCCAGGAAGTCGTCCCTGAGAACAGAGACTCCGTTAGGATATAGTACTATCCTCTTGCAAACAAGATAGAATCGGCCAACGCAAGCTGTCACTTGGATTGTGTCAGACAGTCCGGAAAGGGGCCTTCAAAGGCGTCAACAGGACGCCGACGTCTTGAACGTGCTGACGTATACTCTTGCGTCACGTCCTCGCCAAAAGCGAGCTTCTGCGTCACGTCCTTGACAGAAGCGAGCGCCTGCGTTTCCAAGTTGCGGTGGGCTGTTCGCGCGTGCCGCAGGAATTTTGGGGATCCTCGAAACTGCTGCTTTATAGGTTGTAGAGGTGATTACATGGACACAAAAATTAATTATAATTAAACAAATGCATGTAGTTTGTATGGCTTTCAGATTTCCATCTATTCTTATAAACGCACCCCCTGGAGAGTAATACCACTTTGGAAAGCAGTTGGGGAAAATCTAGTAAAACCGAAGATTTTAAAACGCTACTGTTGTGTAGGAACTATGATATGTGAACAAGGATATACATAAAAGCACTGTGGGTGGAAGCAAAAAATTAGAAATGTTCAGGACATAATGTAAGAATACATTATGCGTTGTAAACAGGATGAAGTAAATATATGCTGGCCAAACAAGACTGAAGTTAAACAGGGTAAGGCAAAAGGATGATGTAGAAGAAATACATAGTATGTAATTACAGTTTAAAAGCTGTAAAACAATGTTGTACGTTGCTTACATGTACGCTGGACCAATAGACTCAAATCTGTTCTCAAGGCTTGTTTGGATGTAAGTCAATACAGCTAAGATCTGGATGTTTACATGCTATAGATAGCAAAAGGCAGAAGAATCTTCTGTTTACCTAACTAACCCAAGTTGTTTGTATGTCAGGACAGTTGTAACTTGAGGGTCCACTGTATGTGTAATGAAAATGCTCAATAAATAAAAGGGAATGAAAAACAAGTTTAGAAATATGGCATCTTCCCACCTTTCAGCTGTCTACCTCATTTTTATCAGGGTAGAAAGATGCTCTCTTTCCACCTATAATGTGCCACCTTTATGGTTCTGTTTAATCTCATATTCCTTTCTAACTCCTATTCCAGATTTTCATTTTTATTCCATCAAGCTTTTACTTGAAAATCATGAAATTACTGGTTTTGTAAATCAGAAATGTTCAGGGACCAGAGATATAGCTCAGTGATAAAGCACTTGCCTAGTATGAATGAAGCACAAGCACCTCAAATGACACTAGCACCTCAGAACAAAACTGCCATCAGCAGTTGTCATATGGTTTACCTAAAAATAGTTACCTCTCCTCTCCCATTCTGTTTTCTATTTATTCTTTTTCCCCAGTCATGCTACTAAAACTTTTCTTTTCAAGGCATAAAGTACTTCTGTGTTGCCTATCTTAGTTACTTTATTCATTGGTGGGACAAAATACCTGATAACTGAAACTTAAAGGAGAGGCTTATTTTAGCTTATGTTTTAGTCCATAATCTGATGACTCCAAGCAGAATGGCACGGCAGAGGCATACTGGAGAAAAAGTTGTTCACTTCATAATCTAATCACCTTCCAAAGGTCCTGCCTATGATCTCCTGAGGCTTTGGGGGACCATCTAGATACAGCATAAACCAAAACTGTCCAGCCTGAAACACAAACTATTTTTGTCTGTTTTCATCTCAGATGCACTGGACTTCGTTGGATGCTTCTTGAAATTCTACCATTTTTGACCACTCCACGGTCTCTTGCTGTTTTTCCTTCCTGTTGTTTTCTTTGAAACAAGAAAGGTATCTTTGAGTTTTGAAACTAAATTACCTGGTCTTCTCTTTCAACACTGCTTTCCTAGGTAATTTTATTTGCTCCTATCATTTCAAATGTTCTTGTATGCTGCTTACTACCAGATTTGCTTCTTTAATTCAAGTGTCTCCTAAAAACTTCTACTCAACTTGGCATCTATTCTTAGATACCCTTAGCAGCTCAAAGTTAATATGTCCAAAATAAAGCTTTTGATTCCCATCCCTAAGCCTGTTTCTGCTCCATTGTTTGTCATGTCCGTAAATGGCATGAGCCTGTGTTATGGTCTAGATTTAAAATGCACCTCCCCATCTCATGTGTTTGGAAGATGATTGGATCATGAAGGGAGTTACTGATGTATTCATAGCTGACTTACTGTTAGGAAGTGGGAATCTGGTTAGAGGCAGGTCACTGGGGGTGTGACCTGTAAGGGTTCAATCTTGTCCCAGCTCTTGTCTTCTCACTCTGCTTCCTAGTCACAATGAGGTGAGCAACTTTTCTCAGCCCATCCTTTCCAACATGCCATTTTTGCCTTGGAGCCAGCCAGCCATTGAATAAACCAACTAAACCTGTTAGCTAAAATAAATTTCTCCTCCTTTAAGTGGCACGTGTTAGATATTTCGTCCCAGTTGTGATGAGAAACTGAGTGAGACAAGCAAGACATCCTGAAATCTTATTTTCATCTTGAAATTGTCCCTTATCTCCATATTGAGCCCATCAGCACATTTTGTTAGAGTTCCATTAATAAAATATTCCTGCAGTTTGCCTACCTCTTTGCATCTCTGTGGCTATCCCAACTAGTAATCTGATTCTGAACCATAGTAGTAAGCCTTTATGGTTGCTTTTTTCTCTCTTGCTCTAGTCTTTCCATTTTCTACATGGTAGCCAGAGTGGTCTTTTTAAAAATGTAAACTGGAACTGAGGCTCTATCTCAGTGGCAGATCATTTGCCTAACAGGCATGAGGCCCTGGGTTCTATCCCCAGGGCCACAAAAACAAAACCAAAATGTAACTTATTATACCCTTGCTCATAACCTTCCATAGGCTTTCCATTGTCTTTACACTACAATACAAACTCCTTGAGTCTTCCATAATCCTGAATAAACCATTTCTTGCCCATCTCTTCACTTTACTTGGTGTTTTTCATTTCTTCACTCCTTATGTTGTTTTCAGGTCTTCTTCAAGTCCATAAACAGTGCAGGCTATAGCCTTAGGATCTTTATGCATGCTGTTCCCTTTGCCTTTGTCACCTTTCTCATTTTGCTTCCTGCAAGATTTCCTAAAACAAGTGATGCCAATGATGGAAAAACCAGTGGGAGTCAGATGAAGACTCAACGAACATTCTAAGTAGAAGTAGTGTGGTATGCACACATGCGTATAAGCAATGTAGTGTGGTTTGTGCAAGACAAGAAAGTGGAAAAGGTAGGAAAGTAGATGGTGAAGGTTCTTAGGGTGCTGCTGAGTCATGGGCTGGGTTGTAGCTCAGTGGAGGACATTTTTTCCATGCACAAGGCTCTAAGTTCAACTCCAGAACAACAAAATGAAAACTAGAATCATTTTCTGTAGACAACAATGAAATCTATGACAAATTTCAAGAAGAGGCTTGATGATGATAATGGTGATAGCTAATATTTGCTGAACTCTTATTCTGACTGACAGTAAGTAATTTACAAATAGAATCTCATTTAAGCATCACAACAATCCCACCAAGTGACTGGTTCTATTGTTCCTGTGCCTATAAAAGGTTCTACAGTGTAAAAGTTGCTTTTCAGCTTTTTCATTACTGGGTATTCAGCTTTCTTAAGTCAGTAAATTGGGATTTGTACATCGGTTTTTCAGTTTTTGAAATTTTGTTCTTGCTTCGTGTTATTTGCATGCTTGTGATTGAAGTGTACATACATATAGATATCTTTAATGGAGTTCAGGAGAGTACAAAATTAGATACAGGTTATTTTTGGGTAGGGAATGGTTTGTGGTGTTTGGGATAAAACCCAAGACCTCACTCATGCTAGGCAAGAGCTCTACCACTGAGCTATACCTCCAACACTAGATGAGGGTTGTTATGGTTTATATCTAGATTTTCCCCAAAGCCTCAAGGACTGATAGGTGGGGCTTTTTGGAGTGGCTGGATCATGGGTAAGTAATACTGGATTAGTACAGTGATGGGCTTATAGCTGAGCGTGACATTGAGGGATGAATCCTAGTGGAAATAGGTGGGTCACTGTAGGCATGGCCCAGAGGGTGTATATATACTGTACATCCTTCCTTCTCTCTTGGTGATGTACTGCTTCCTGCCTGCCATACTCTGATCGGTTTCTTCTCTGTCATGCCACTTCTACAAACTGTGAGCCAAAATAAACCTTTCTTCTTTTAACTTGTAAGAGTTGGGTATTTTGTCCCAGCAATGAAAAAGTGACTAAGACAAGGGTAATCAATTATTTTAACCTGGAAATCCCATAGATAAATTATTAATTACTTATAAGCAATATTCCTAATAATCAAGTTAACTCATTTATATTGTTAGTTGAATTGGATGTTGAAAGAATTTTTTAAAAAACTAGATACGTTGGATTGATTTGTTCTTAGCAGTTAAAATCTATTCCTCCTTCCAAGTAGTCCCCTTATTTACTTTTTTTATGGACTAAAGTTTTATTAATTCCAGTATATTGTAGAGAAAGTTATAACTGGACTTTTATTTTTTCAGTTTTTTAAATTAATACGTTTGTAGTGCAGAATGATTGCATCTATCATGGGAAGTTCATACATGTACATACCACATTTTAATTCTATTTTCATCTCCTTCCCCTTCCTTCCCTCCCTCTCCTTTATCTTTTGCTCTTTATGTTTTGGGATTCTCATATAAGAGAAACACTAAATATTTAAGCTTGTGTGTCTGATTTATTTCACTTAACATTGTGATCTCAAAGTGCAGCCATTTTCCTACAGATCACTCACATTTACCCCTTTTTACAGCAGAGTAGTACTCTATTTGTATAAATTCGACATTATTTTTATCCATTCATTTGTTGATGGACATATAGGTCACTTTCACAATTTATCTATTATGAACTGTGCCGCTATAAACATGGATATGTGTATATCACTATAATATGATGTCTCACTCTTGGGAAGATTCCTAGAAGAGGAATAGCTGTTTTGCTCTTCTGGATCTCTTCTGGTTCCATATGAATTTTAGGATTGTTTTCTCTAGTTTTGTAAGAAATGTTATTGGTATTTTGTTTATGATTGTGTTAAATCTTTATGTCATGTTTGGAAGTATGGCTGTTTTCACTGCCTGTCCAGGTACAAGGAGTATCTTTCCTT